GTGTCCGCCCAGGTGCGTCCTTGGGGCACGGGGCCGGCCTCGAGATGGGGAGGATGGAGCCAGAAGCCCTTCAGTGACAGCCTCAGAGCGATTGCCCCTTCCCCTCCACGTCCACGCAGCGCTGCCCCGTGCTCCGGTCCGAAGCCATTCCCGGCTCCGTGCGGACGCACCCATTGTCTCCTCCCGCACGTCAGCTCACGGGGTTTGGCATTTGGACCGCGAAGTAGCGATTTATATTTTTTTTATTTTAGCCACGCAACACCAGGGAAAAGGGGTAATTGGATTAAATTGATGGCCTTCCTTCTGGGACTCCGCAAAGCCCCATAGACGCCTCCTTAAAGCGGCAGCGACCGGCCGGGCTCACCCTCGGAGCTCCGGGCTCCGCGCTCCGCCGCCGGGTGCGGGGCTGAGGGGCCGGGCCGGCTCCGGGGGAGCGCTCCGCGGGGCGGCAGCCTCGGCCTCCCCTTCTATAAACACAAAGAGAGGGGGCCTGGGGAATTGAAACCCAAATCCACTTGTAATCGTACAAGGGAATCGGGCGTAATTACTCGAGCAAGCTTGATGAAGATTGATGAGCCTTTAAAGCGGCCTTTCGGATCGATCCGCCTGCCCTCGGAGCCTGCGGCCGGGCTTCCCCGGCCCTGCCAGACCCGGCCCGGCTGTTTCTCACGGTGCGGGGAGGAAGGAAAGATGGAGGCAGGACGGGGAGAGCGACGAGGCAGCCCCGCGCATGTGATCCCGATCAGCTGACCGGGGTCAGGAGGCTGCCCTGCTTTATTAGGGGATGGAAAACAATAAAATGAAAGAAAATAGAGTTCGTATCAATATTTTGCTGCCTGCCATGCAGGGCTGCTGAGAGCTGTCAGTGGAACCCACGTTTCAGCTTGTCCTTGTACACCAGCAATCTGTGCCTTCCTCCGTGTTTATTTTGCAGCAAAGAATGACAAAATATTGTGCAGTACAGCCTCAAATTGGGTGTTACAGCAAAGGGAAACATTAAGAACATGACAGTGAGATGCGCTGATACAGGATTAATTTGGGCTAAGTGGGTAATTCGAAGCGCTGCTGCCTGCTGAGCAGTGGCACAGTGCTGTGTGGGTCTGAGGGAAGCAGGGCTGCAGCCGGGACATGGGGACACATCCTGGCCCTGGGACCTCATCCCTGCTTTGGGACCACATCCCAGCCTCGGGGCCAGCAAGCAGAGCCAGGGCTCACTAGGCCACAACAGTCTCCAAACATGCAGTCTTCATCCCCACGAGGCTGGAGCCTGGGGATGTTGGCCATGGTGGGCGCTCACTGACCGAGGTTTTCCTCTTGGGGCAGAGGGGTTTGAACTGCAGGAAGCAAACAAAAGGGTTTTGCCACTCGTTGAGGTGATGGGTTTGGCTGCTCCTAAAGGTGCGCTGGGTGGATGCTGGGCTGAGTCTCTGTGTTGAGGCTTTTATTGTTTGTACATTGGACATGTGTGTGCGCGTACGCGTGTGTTTATGTGTGTACAAGTCATCCTTCACCATTCAGCAGTTAAATCCAGAAAAGCATTTTATATTTCATCTTTTAATTACAGCAAGTGAGCTTCCAAAGCACCAACACTGTCAGCTTTCACTGCATTCCTACCGAAGATGGTGACAAAGTGATCCTGCACTACCTTTTGCCTTAAAGCAGTTTTTCTTGAATTAAGACCTAACAAAGTGAGCGCAGAAGGCTGCCTCTCGCAGTGGGTTTCCCCATCCCATCTCCCAGTGCCCACACCAATGCCTCGTTACGGCGTACATCCGAGCGAAACCTCGTTACAGGCATTTTAAAAGGGTGAAGTGACAGCGAGCTGAAATAAAAATGACACTGCCATAAATACCCCTAACGATGGCAGCAGCCTTTGTCTGTGTGCGGTGCTCAGGGGGGTCCCCACAACCCCATCCCCGGCGCTGCCCTCGGGGTGCGATGCGGGGCCGGGAGACGCGGGGCACGGAGCCCCCGCCACGGCCCATAAACAGCGGTGGTGTTAACGAGGAGCAAAGGGGCACGGAGGGAGAGGGACCTACGTGCGAGAGGCAGCGCTTTCCGCCCTAACCCTTCCATGTGCTCGCTGATTTGCCCGCAGCCCGCAAACTCTTTTCCTGTCCCGACCGCGGAGTTCAAAGCGGGAGAGGACCGAGCGCGGCGCTTCCCCGCGGGGTTTGCGCGGGGCATCGCCGGGCACCGCCGGGCGGAGGGAAGGGGCCGGGCCGCGGGGCTGGGCCGGCCGGGCCCGGGGTGACGCTGCTGCCGCTGTCTTGCAGGCCCCGTGGTGCTGAGCACGCCGGCCCAGCTCGTCGCCCCCGTGGTGGTGGCTAAAGGGACGCTCTCCATCACCACCACCGAGATCTACTTCGAGGTGGACGAGGACGACCCGGCCTTCAAGAAGATCGACCCCAAGGTGAGCGAGCGAGCTCGGGGACACGCGTGGCTTGGGGCCGCCCCTCCCGCGGGCTCCCGCTGCATTTCCTCCGCGTATTAATGATGGTAAATCCTCTATTACGGCGGCGGGCGCGTTTTCCAGCAGCCTTTCTCTCGGTGCCTTTGTATGAGCGCGGGCAGATTTAGCAGTTAAGCCAATTGCTCTGAAATCCCTGGAGGTAACCGCAGTCCCAGGCTAAGGCGCAGCAGAGGGATTTACCCCTATCGATGCTATCAGAGAACCTCTTTATTTCGAGAGCGTTGGTTTCCACGTAAAGAATTTGTAGTAAACGTGCTCGCTGCTGAAATGCGAGCTAATATTTAAAAAGAGAGGGGGGAAGGTGGGGGAAGGAAGGAAATAGGCATGTACCCAAGCCTCGGTGCCTGGGAAAGCTCTGCTGTTTTCCTACCGTCGCCGAATGTCACCAACCCCCAGCGCCGTCCGGCCGCACAGCAGGGCTGCCCCGGGCCGCAGTAGCGGAGGGGAAGGCGGGAAGGGCCGGTCGGGCTCTCCCCTCTCCCGCATCTCTTTCTACTCTCAGCGTTGTCGCTTTGATTTTGTTTTCGTTTTTTTTTTCTGTTAACGAGATGGAAAACGTTAGAAGCCTCTCTGGAAAGGGAATAGGAGAGATACTTTTACAGGAAGACGTTTGGGTTTTGTTTGGCAGAAATGCCATAAATAATTTCAGAGAAAAACACTATCGAACCCAGCTGAACATAAGCGTGGTTGTAGAAAGGTGACTTCTCGTGGACGAATAATTCCTGGAACTGGGGGTTTTCATCGCAGCGCTGGCGGAAGCGATTCTCTCCCAGCCACTCGGAATAACGGGTTCCTTACAGCGCTCTCTCTCTAACAAGCTGCCGGTGGATGTTACACCGGCGATCGGCCCTTTCGGCACTTGTTGACCGTGGGGGCATTAAGCACAGTCCTCGCTGTTACTTTGCATTTGGTGGCGGTGAGGAACGCAGCCGGGGACGGAGCGGCAGTGCGGGAACGCCGCGGTGCAGCACGCACACGGTGTCCCTGTGGCAGGGCTCGGGCTCTGTGCGCAACCGGCGAGCTGATCGCATTCAGAACGGATTTGGAGGGCAGAAGTCATATTGTTGTTCGCGTTATTGGCTCCGGCTCGACCCTTTCACCTATAAATTTTACTTTCTTCTTGCTTACTGTTTGCACCAAACTCTCCTTTTAGCGGACGGGGCTCGGCACGGGGCTACTTCCCGAGCGCCTATGGGAAACCCCGTGAAAACGGGTTTGTTTTCTGACGGCCGGAACGGCGCTACCGACTGAATAACTGCATCAGTGCCTGACAGCCGCTGGTGGCCATCGAGAGCTAAATTCGCCGCCGACATTTCCTTGCCCTGCAAAACTATCCAAAATCAGGCGGCTCCCTCAAGTTTTCTGCTTTATGGGGTTTAAGTAACTGTCGACAGGAAAGTGGAAATTCACAAAACGTGGCCGCCCTCCAATTTATTTATTTATTTTTTTTCAAGTAGAAAACTTGATTCGGTATTGAAACGCTCACCCAGAGGCGTTTTACTTCATTTATTAGCTCGTAATTAAATAAATCAGGAACAGAAATTAAAATCTAAATCACAAAAGGTAATTATCCAGTGTATTTCAAGTGCATTTTCAAATATATAATTCCAATATTCAAGCGTTATTATATAAGCAGAATCCAAATTTCTTTCGAATATATTTAAATAACATTTCAAGTATATTTATGGAATGTTAGAAATAGAACAAGCAATATATATGAAACGAAAAAATGTAAACTCGTTAAGTTCAGACACTTCAAAAGACAATTAACAAAAGTACCGTGATAAAATCTACCTTTTCAAATGGTATCTTCTCGTTAGCAGAAAATGTCCTTGAAGTATCCAAAATGGCAATTTAACTTCTGTTCACCAAATCACAAAACACCAACATCCACAATTTCAAAGACAATGTGAGCTCACAATATCTGATACAAATTAAAAGGTACATCGGGGTCGGTCAGGTGGCGTCTCCAAACAGCGTTTACTCAC